ACAGCAACTCCTCAGACCACCACAGCACGCCACCTGCTGGTAAAGAACAATACCTCAACTTGTGCTGTGCAAATGTTGGTATAGATCCAATATCAAATAAATACAGGGCCAGTACTGCCAATACCAGTACTGATACCAAAGCTTAAAGGCAGCTTATGTAGGGAAGAGCAGCATGATTTATGAGATTCTGATTTCAACTGTGATTTTTAATTTCCACAATAATTAGTTGACACAACAAAACACACTCTTCAGCTTTTCGTGTATTTTAAATTGGGAGGTTTTTTTATTTATGTTTGCTAAAGGACATAAATAAAATAGACGTGACCGTGAACATCACAGGTGCATGTTTGAGGTATACACTTTATTTAACACAATTCACTGGGCTATGTGCTGAAACTAAAAGATAGAAATAAAAATCGATCCTATCATGATAGTATCGATCCGATACCAGTACCAGCATTGGTATCGATCCGCCCACCTCTAGCCTTAAGTAATAGGATCCATGTGTCAGAGGCTGGAAAAGACTTCAGTGAATGAAACAACAATATAAGCTAGCAGCAGATGTGATGAGCTTTAGAGTTACAACTGCTACTAGCAGTGATTTTTATAGACTGTGTCCAGGAGCTCAATATGAGGCGTGGCATTACCCACCGGTTTTTGGAACAGCAGTTTATGGTCATCACCGTGTTGTTCTTCTGCAGGAAGTTTGTTTCTGCTGTGAAGTTTTACCATGGAGTCTGACTCACAGCTGAGCCTCAGGCTGACATTAGAGGGACGGAAAATGTATTTACCATTAATTACATTATCAGTCTGAGAGTTTCACAATGAAATATAAAACATGGCTGATCAATGGTCATGGAGATCAATAAAGAAGATCAATACAGGATGACTGAAGTGTGTTTATTAAACTGAGATATTTTCCTTCACCCTTTTAGTTCCCTCCATCAACCCTACAGGAGTGCGCAGTAACTCCTCAGAACCAGGGACACTGATCATCACGTGGGATGTGAGTACGTCAGCGTGTATGCAGTGGGCTCGAGTAAACATCCTCTGATATGTTTCATGAAAAGCACAGTCCACGGGCACTTCATATTCTTACTTTCTGTTGCAGGAGATAGACAAGCGTTTCCATAACGGCCAGAACTTCCAGTACGAGGTGCTGTGGAGGGAGGCCGATGGGTCAAATGTAAACTGGAACTCCGGCCGTGTGAGGTCTCCACCGTTCATAGTGAACAACACAGGAACGTACACACCGTTTGAGATCAAAGTCCGATCTGTCAACGCTCTCGGAGGAGGACCGGAACCAAAGTCGAGGAACGGGCACTCCGGAGAGGACAGTACGTCATCCCAGAGCTTCATCCCTGTGGCCGAGTGCTGTAATGGGAGGGCCTGTTATTGTGTGTAACTGGGAACCATTACAGGGCTAAAGCCTGTGTGCACCCACTGAGAGGACTGGAACTAAAGCTCATACATACACATATAGAGACAGTACATGATATCTACAAGTCAGTAATACTGATGACAGTGAGCCAGTTCTGAAAATATCAACTTAAAACAATCTGAGTTAACCATGTTTATCCATACAGCTTATGAATGCCATCAGTCATAAATAATCTCACTGCAACAGCTTCATGAAGCATCACATCACAGCTCTTTCTGTCAAAATGTCAAATCTAACATCTCTTGTTGGAGTGCCCGGCAGCTGTACACATGAATGCTTTGCTGCTGTGCAGGCTGTTAATCACTCAGAGCATATAGTGAAGTTTCCTGTCAGTGCTTAGATCATGCTGGGAAAATGTCTTTAGGTCAAAAGTCAAGAAGCTCAATGAGTGGATGATGGGAATGATGCAGCTGAGGGTTTAATGTCTCACGCTGAATGTTCGGCATGTGAATCAATAATTGCCTCTTTTGTAATGTTGTCATTTTGATGAGAAATACGAGTTTCAGCTCGAACTGACTTATTTCTGTTTAGGAGGTTGCACATGCGTTCTTTCACAGGCTTAGAGAACTGTTCAGTTAGAGGGTAGTTAGGAGGTAAAAAGGTGATGACTGGCCAAGGTCATTCCTCACAGCAGTCATCACGGTTTCCCTCAGTTACCTCGAGCTCTGAGGTCTTCACTGGTCTTTGGAAAGCTCAGTGTTTTATCAGCAGCAGCAGCAGCAACGCGTGACATAACACCGTCCAAAGGTTCTTACCAACGGGCTAAGCTTCTTCAGTTCTAGTGTCAAATGGTGGAGAGTCCCAGATTTAGGCCATATGGGAGTGTCCCCCCCCACAGAGGGACAAAAGGACCCCCTGATGATCCTCTAATCACATGAGCCAAGGTGTGAAACTGGGTGTGGGTCACAATCAGCCAGAGTTTCAGGTGAGCTCATTGTGAAACCTGGCCCCACCTTATTATGTGATTTCCTGAGGTCAGGTGGCCCAGGATGTGAGTGGGCGTTAAGGCATCTGGGAAGGATCTCAAAACTGGATTATAGATTGCAGACAATTGGTGTCACAAGCTCCGCCCTCTGTTCAAAGATGGTCGCTCACAGTGGACATAGATGCTTCTTTCACTCCTCTTTCAAACCATCTGTCCTCTCTGTCCAAAATGTGAACATTGGCATCCTCGAAAGAGTGTCCTTTATCCTTAAGATGCAGATGGACTGCTGAGTCTTGTCCTGTGGAGGTGGCTCTTCTGTGTTGTGCCATGCGCTTGTGAAGTGGCTGTTTGGTCTCTCCAATGTAGAGGTCTGGGCATTCCTCGCTGCACTGTACAGCAAACACCACATTGTTAAGTTTGTGTTTAGGAGTTTTGTCGTTCGGGTGAACCAGTTTGTGTCCAAGTGTGCTGCTGGGTCTGAAGTAAACTAGGATGTTGTGCTTGGAGAAAACTCTCCTGAGTTTCTCTGATACACCGGCTACAGAGGGGATGACAATGTTTTAAGTGTTTCCTTTGCATGTGTGTGTTCCTTCTTTTTCCCTTCAGGCTTAGAGGGAACATGTTCTGCCCGGTGGTGTAGGGTCCTAATTACTCCAAGTCTGTGTTCCAGAGGGTGATGGGAGTCAAAGAGGAGGTACTGGTCCGTGTGCGTGGGCTTCCGGTAAACTTCGATGTTGAGGTTTCTTCTCAATGCGCACAGCACAGTTCAGGAATGACAAACAGTTATCCTTTGTGTCTTCCCTAGTTTGACACAAAGGATAACTGTTTGCCATTCTTTAGGAGTCTTCTCCAAGCACAACATCCCAGTTTACTTCAGACCCAGCAACACGCTCAGACAGAAACTGGTTCATCCCAAAGACAAAACTCCTAAACACAAACTTAACAATGTGGTGTATGCTGTACAGTGCAGCGAGGAATGCCCAGACCTCTACATTGGGGAGACCAAACAGCCACTTCATAAACGTATGGCACAACATAGAAGAGCCACCTCCACAGGACAAGACTCAGCTGTCCATCTGCATCTAAAGGTCAAAGGTCACTCCTTCACACATCTGTCTTCTCTTGGCTCGTGTGATTAGGTAGAGGGTCAATAGTGGGTCCATTGTCCCTCTCGGTGGGTTACTCCCACAGAGCTTAAATCTGGGACTCTCCACCATTTGATCCTAAAACTGAAGAAGCTTCTCGAATGAGAGGTGAAACGTCTTCAAGCAACTTAAAGAAGTCCAGACGCTTTTCTTTCCAAGCTCCTTAGACTACGATGACCTGGATCAATGAGGACCTTCACAGACACATGCTGTTAAACTATTCATCATTTCAGGTTCACGTGCTTATATTATGACATCACCGTATTGCTTAGAAATATCCTGACAATCACAGACAAGTGATTACTGCAGCAATGGGTATTTACTAGTGTAATGAATTCAGCAGAAATTCAGAAGTTTGTCTCTGACAGAAAACCGTGCACACACACATACACATGTTGCGTATTCATATCTTGTGTGTAACTGACATAATGCTTTCCCTAGCCCCTTACCCTAAACCTAACCATAACCCAGTTGTAACCCTGACACTAGAACCACCTTTTTTAGTTTTAAAAATGCCTTCAGACTTGTGAGGACCAGAATTCTGGTCCCCATGAAGGCTGTTGGTCCCCACAACTATAGTAAAAGTCCAACTTTTGTCCCCACAAAGATATCAATACACATTCACACACACAGTCATAAACTGCGAGTTTGTGCAAATAACATCGCTGCTGTGCTGATTTCTTATGTTCATGCCTTGCTGCTTCTCTCAGAGCCAGAGGAAGCGCCGACTGGAGTTTCAACCACCGTGCTGAACAGCACCATCAGAGTGAGCTGGAACAAAGCCCAGAGGGTCCGAGGTTGGCTGCTGGGATACAGGGTAGCACTTCTCATTGAGTTTAATTACCTGACTCACATCACAGAAATGCTCTTAACATTTAAATCCTCTGTTCATGTAAGGTTATTACTTGGTGCGATGTTTCAAAAATTTAATTGGACTTTGGCTTTGAGCCTCTGCCCATCTTTAATACTGAGAAACTTTATAATCTTTCTGTCAATCAAACCCCAGAAAATAGTCCCGAGTGGCATCTTTGATTAGTAGAATAATGGATGAAAACACAGGCTGATAAAAGTTTTTATCGTGTTCTGAATTTTTTAATTTCATTTTCAGCTGTAACTTTATCAAAGCACATAAAGTGTGTTCATGTTTCTCTATGCTTGCTTCAGATCTACTATAAGAGGCTGGCTCCCAAGGCCGAACGGAGCCGGAGGTCTCTCAGACAATCCCAACATGAGGAGGACAGAGGAGAAAGATCTAAACAATTGAGTGAGACAGACGAGCACAGCTGGCAGGTGGAGGAGGTTGACCATAGCAAGACCTCAGCGGAGGTGACGGGACTGCGACTGTTTTCTGAGTATGAGCTGACGATCACTGCGTTTAACAGCAAAGGGGAGAGTCCTCGCTCCCCGCCGCACCACTTCCACACACCGGAGGGAGGTGAGTTTCAACCAAACGCTGCTGTTTGAGGGTCATGTGACCATGGATCGAAGTGCGATTTGACAGGTTCCACAAGTCAAAGGTCAGCTGATCTGAGCAGCATTGTGTAGTAAGTTAGCTGTCTGCTTTAATTACCAATTATTTGAAGGTATCAGAATGCTGCTCTTGTTGCAGCCCATTGCAACCTCTGCACCTGACCCAAAAGCTTACAACACGACATTCATATCCGAGCGGACTTTGACATTCAGACAGAATAAAGTCAACCGAACTTTCTTCCCTCGTGTCTAAGAGTTCAGGATCAGTTCTCAAGTTACACAAACCTCACCTGGAACTGTTCTGTGTGTGCAGTTCCTGGTCCTCCTGCAACTCTGGAGTTTGAAAGCCCGACAGAAAAATCCCTGATTCTCTCCTGGAGCCATCCAGCTGAGACCAACGGCATTCTGCTGGGATACATAGTGCAGTACCAACGGGGTAAGGTCTGATCCTGGCTGCGTCATGAAAATAAGATGAAGTTTAACAATTGTGACTTTTCTTTTTGTGTTCATCCTTGAATTCTGTTGTAACTTTACTTTCTGGTGTTTCCTTCAGATTTCAATGTTTTTCTTTGTCCCTGTTTAAGTTTTATTTATTTCACTTTCTGGGAACAGCGTTTGGCCACCAAGCGTTCTTAGTCATGTTTTTCTGCCTGGTTTGTGTTTCATCTGTAGAGGTGGAAAGCAAAGACAGTCCTGTGGAGATACTGAATGTCAATGATCCCACAGTAAAGCACATCACGCTGGACAACCTGGACCCCGACAGCCATTACATCTTCAAAGTAACAGCATGCACAAAGATTGGACAAGGCCCTCCCATCACACGCAGGGGAGCCACTCTGCTTGATGGAGGTGAAACTTCAGAATTCTGCCTCACACCGTTTAGTGTTCGGCTTTATTTAGTGAAATAAAACCAAATTCTCAAATTGACCTTGTTTTCTCCACCCCCCTGCCTTCTAGAGCCTCCGAGAAACATCACAGTAACCTCTGGTAACGCATCAGTCCACCTGAGCTGGGTGCCCGGAGAGAGAAACCGAAACCACGGCTTCCACATCCAATACCTCAAGAAGAGCGGTAAGGACAGGACGGCTTGCAGGGAGAGGAGGTTTAAGGGGGTCTGTGAGCATGTGTGGACAATGACTCTTAGAAAGGGGAATAAAGGAGCTGGAGAGTAAGGAAGGAAAACATGTCTGAGTCCTTCTCAAAGTCTTGATAACAGTTCCCGGCAGTGATTCGACCAATTATTTTGAAGATCCTGACTCTAAATGATCGAACAGAGGTTTAAACTTCAGTGTTGAAGAACAGCATGCGGAGGCTCAACAGTCAAATCTGAAAAAACTCTCAAATGTCCAAAAAATAAACCTTTAAGGCTTTTTTCTCTTGAAGTTATACTTTGGTCTGAGAACATGACAGCCTGATTAATGGTTCAATCCAAAGTGAGACGAGCCTGAAGAACCTGCAGTGAACCAAGAACAAGTAAACAGCTCCCAACTTGTTATGATGATAACAAGTAGATTAAACTGTCACGACTCTCTGATGTTTCATGCGTATCCAGTGATTTGAATATGAATTTTCACACTGTTTTGCTTCTGCAGCGTCTCTGGATCAACATCACAGCAGAATTATTAGAATCAGCAGAAGAATCAGAGACAGTTCATTAAATGAGAGGAGGAACAGCTTTAGGATTGATTCCTACTATGTTCTTCATATGTTTCATTCTTCTCTGCCGTGTGGCTGCAGGAGGCGGTGGGTGGGAGAAGTCAGAACAGGTCAACACTACGCAGGGTTTCTATATGCTGACAGGCCTCCAACCAGGAGCTCAGTACCACCTGAGGGTCATGCATGGAAACTCCACTTATTGGCAAGGCGAGGCAAAGACCGTGGAACCACGTAAGTATGCAGAGTAGTAGAGGTTGATGCCACGATCTTCACAGATTCACAAATCTAGCACTGTCGATGTCTTGATGCGTGCTCAATCATCCAGGTAAGTAAATTTCCGATTTATACATCGGAGAAAGTAAACAACCTCTGGCGAAGTGGGTGTCACATCACAGAAGAGCCACCTCGTCAGGCCAGGACTCTGCAGTCTATTCACACCTACAGGCCAGTGGACACTCTTTCAATGATGAGGATGTAACATCCTGGATAGGGAGGAACGCTGGTTTAAGGGCGGAGTCAAGGAGGCCATTTATGTGAAAAGGGAAAGACCATCTCTGAATCGAGGAGGGGCCTAAGGGTACATCTGTCACCATCTTACAATGCTGTGATTGCAGCCATTCCCCAACTCTCTGTGAATGGGACTCATGACCATTGATCATTGACCATTGATCAGTGGTTGTTGATCAATGGTCATGAGAATTTGCATATTAATGATCAAGGAACTGACCTCCCAGCCCATTGTGCCTCAGTGGGCTGGTTTCAGTCATTATGCAAATGGACTGTTTATAAGATTGAAACCTGCAGTCAGCTGAGACTGAAGACGTCACTGGATGATGACGAAGCGTTTCTCCCACTGAAAACGTTACGTCCAATGAACAGAATCAACTTTTTGGGACTAGCACTGTGGAGTTTTCAGGCGGGCTAATCTCGCTACCTGTGTGAAAATCATAATTCCAAACGCGTCTGGACTTCTTTAAGTTGCTTGAAGACGTTTCACCTCTCATCCGAGAAGCTTCTTCAGTTCTACCGTCAAATGGAGGAGACACCAACTGTCTGCCATCTTTAATCCAGTTCTGAGATCCTTCCCAGACGCTTCCTGGGCCATCTGACCTCAGGAAATCACATGTTAGAATGGGGCTAAGTTTCACAATGAGCTCACTCGAAACCTTGGCTGATTGGGACCTACACCTTCACACCTTGGCTCATGTAATTAGGTAGAGGATCATTAGGGGTCCTCTCGGTGGGTTACTCCCAAAGAGCTTAAATCTGGGACTCTCCACCATTTGACCCTAAAACTGAAGAAGCTTCTCGAATGAGAGGTGAAACGTCTTCAAGCAACTCAAAGAAGTCCAGACGCTTTTCTTTCCAAGCTCCTTAGACTACGATGACCTGGATGACTGAGAACCTTCACAGACATCATTCCAAACATTTCTGTGACAGTCTGTCTCTGTTCTCTCAGTGCCGTCAGAGATAACCGGCAGGTTCGCCACCCAAGGCTGGCTGATTGGACTCATCAGCGCCATCGTGCTGCTGGTTCTCATACTGCTCATCCTCTGCCTTATCAAACGCAGCAAGGGCGGCAAATATGCAGGTACGCTGTGGTGCGCAGCTGGACTAACACTCTCTGACTCACACAGACTCTAACGCAGAGTTAAAGGTTTCTTTTTTTCACAGTGAAGGACAAAGAAAGTAAGGAGGTGGACTCTGAAGCTCGACCAATGAAAGATGAAGCCTTTGGAGAATACAGGTGGGCCTTTTTGAATGTCACTCATGATTACAGGCTATGCTTGAAATGCATTTGCTTCCACACAGAACAAAGTGCTACGGTGGCCCTGCAGGTACAAAATACAGCAAGAGCACAAAACATAGAGCGACCCTGCGATTTGAGTCAGTGTGTTGTTTAGTTTTTGCACAAAAATCCTTCATGTCGACACAATGAGATCAGTTATATACACTATGTTTTTATATAAACAGTGATAATATCCCTGCAGTAAATCATATTAGGAAACTTTGTTTTGTTTCTGAAACATCGAGTTTGACGGCTTCATCTGAGCGTGCAGCTCGTCATGCTCGCAGCTCTGCTTCCTTTCATTCACTTTTCTTTCTCCCTTCAATGCTCTGCCTGCAGATCCCTGGAGAGGTAGGACAGTTCACCCCTCTGTAGCACTCACATGTGTGTTTGTGTGTTTGTGTCGAGATGCTGTTTAGATTTAATGAAACTTTTCATTCTGTGTGCATTTCTTTGAGTTTTTGTGTAATTAGGCATCATTTGCATAATCAGCCTGCAGTCCTTGAACACCAGGAAGAATTTTATTAACATTTTATTCATGTGTTATTTTATACTATGTTATTTCATATTTGTCTTTTCTGCATTTTTAAAATTGTTTATTTTATATCATTACATTTTTTTATTTAAATACTTATAATAACTTGATCCTCCTTAACATGATGAACTGTTAAAGAGGATGTACTTACCCATGCAGTTTCTTTCTTTCCATTTTCAGTTTGGGACACATTTCACAAATTTGACACAGTTATGACGTCACCGTGTCCGTGTGATGCTACACAGCATGTTCCTGCATTTATCAGACTTCACTTTTTGTCTGTGAGAATTTACACTGAGTCTCTGTGCCGTCCTCCAGCGATGGCGATGAGAAGCGCTCGGACAGCCAGCAGTCTCTGGAGGAAAGTAAGATGGGCAGCGTCGACTCTCTGGCTGAATACGGGGACAGTGTGGACATCCAGTTCAACGAGGACGGCTCCTTCATCGGCCAGTACAGCGGCCGGGCATCTGTTCCCCACGGCAACGAGAGCTCGGGCCCCGCCTCCCCCGTTAATGCAGTCCCACCTCCCCCCGTCGCTCCCTCCATGTCGAGCATCCTAAATCGGCCCAGCTAGAGACACACATGGCCAAAACACACACACACACACACACACACACACACACACACAATGTCAGTACATTCCATTGGTTTATGCAGTGAAGCTGTTTACAGTTTACAAACACACACAAAAACACACACACATACAACGTGATTAGAAACTCGTATGAGCGAACAAACTGAGTGAGGTGAGGGCGAGAGCTGCACCAGCTGCTCCTGAGCTCGGTGAGTCAGGTTACATGAGCTCAGTCTGTTTGCAGGATTGTTACTGAACATGTAAAACTTCTGACGCGTAGCCCGCCGAAGACACGCAGCGAATGTTATTCTGGTCTGCAGCATCTGATTCAGCTTCACATGTCAGTAACTACTCACATAGATTAACACCCAAATGAGTACATGGAGACAGTTTAAGAGCTATGAAACTTCAATTGAATTCATAATAAAGGGATACAAAACAGACTAGTTCTTATGTAGGATTATTAATGAATATTTAAAATTCTGGACTAACTTTTTGTAGACAGTGACCACAAAGCAAACAGTTTGCTAGTCTGGAAGAACCAAGTGACAGCTGATTGGCTAACGGTGAATATCAGCTTAAACATAAAAATAAAATAATAAAGCTTATTAATACTAATTCTGATAAAGGATCCATTCTCTGTGCATTTTAGCTAATACAGTTTGAGCTTCTGATGTCCTCTCCGTACCCTTCATGACGAGTTCTGACACCTCAGCATATCTCAAACTAGAAAGTCACCTGAGCGGCTGCAGGTGGAGCTCCCTCTGAGGTTCTTTGGCTCTAACTGACATACATCTCTGGATTTATCTGGACTTCACCAGGTTTGTAGTGACCATGTTGTGGTTTGTTTACACGATGGAAAGCTTTGTAATTGGGCACAAACAATTTATTGTTTACTAAAATCTTTCCTGATTTTATGAATGTAATTGTGAATTAAGTCGGGACTCGCTGAGATGGCCTTAAAGTGAAACCAGTGAAACCAGTCTCAGTCTCATAAGGAAATGAGTTTCATGGCTCAGAGTGTTGCGTCTGATTCTTGGTTGCTCCATCTGTCCACCAGGACAAAGCTGCTCTTTGACTTTTTACCTTAGAGTGGTGTTTGCACATGACGCAGTAAAGTTAGACTTTAAATAGAAACTTAGAGAAGCTGGTGCAGCTCAGCCCAGGAGACGGAGATGATTTATGGGAGAGCGTCACAAAGAAAAAGCAAAAATCTGGGAGTTTTTCATCTTTCATCTTGGACCAAATCACTTTATTTCATCGTAAACAAACATTTCAGTCTCTTTTTGTTTCCTTAGCATATTTATATGTCGATTTTTTATATTTATGTGTTTTTGTTACCAACTTATGTATCTGAGTTTGCATGCATGTGTCATGGAACGGTTTTTACTCTTTATAGATGCATGCCAGCTTCCAGGCATTTCTAAAGCATTTCATTGACTTTTGAGTTAAAGAGCGAGACTGTTACGCTGTGTGTGTGTGTGTGTGTGTGTGTGTGTGTGTGTGTGTGTGTGTGTGTGTGTGTGTGTGTGTGTGTGTGTGTGCTTGCTCTCCATCCCTGCCCTTTGACCTGCAGAGAGGGGAGCTCTGTTGCCTTAGGAGAGTCCAGATGAACCTCCTCTCCTCCCTCTTCCTGTCAGTCATCTCTCCTCAGACGCAGCTTCATGTGTAAAAGTTTTCAGCGTTGCAGTTTCTGCAAACGTCCATTAAACCCTGTAAACGACCAGCAGACGGCACAGTTCACTGCTTCAGATGTTTCAGGGCTGCCTTTGAATATGATTGGAAAAATTCCTATGCATACACACACACACACACACACACACACACACATACTGATGAACACATGAAGTGGAGGCCCACATGGCGGGTCCTCTGTAGCAAAACGGACCCTCTGACGGAGCGAGGGAGGAGGCGGAGGAGAAAGAGGATCAGATGTAATCGCTCCCTGAATGTAAATAGAACCTTGAGATTGTCAGTTTTTTTTATTTCCATTGCTTCTTCTCTAAAATCATTGAATTGCAGTTTGTCTTTTTATCTTTTGCTCTGTTTGATTTTGTACTTGTATTTTGTATCAACACCCTCCCCTCCATCGTCTAATCTTAGGTTTTCCTTTCGTGTCGCTCAGTAGCCTCGAGACGTTTAGAGAAGATTAGAACCGTAGAGAGAAAAACACTCCCCTTCATTCATTCAGTTTCTTTATAGCGCGTAGCAATGCAGCAAATAATACTGATTATTAAAAAGCTATGTCATAAATGTTTCTACAGCTCGCTGAGCTGTTTAATGGCAGCGGGTGAGATGATGTTCTCTGGATGGACCCGCACCGGAAACAGTTTTATAGCTCAGAGGGTTTATTTCGTTGCCTTGGACACGCTGCACTGATGCCGATGCGGATCAAAAAAAATCAATCTGATGAAAATATGTGTCGCAGGATTACACACAGGGAGCCCCGTGTTCGGACCCACAGCTGACGCTTATTCTTACAGTCTGTCGAGCAGAGAGACAAACCCGACGAAGCGATTCACGCAAACCAAGCAGAAAAGACCAAAACCAACAACCACTTACTGCAGACATAAAACTTTAAACAACCTTCCAAGATGATAGTTTCCCATAAAAACAAAGCTCATTATTATCCAGCAAATAAATTCTCATTATAGTTGAATTCGTATTTTGCGCTGTAGTGAGTGTTTGTGACTGCAGGAGGGTGGATGGGTTTTCCCTCCATCTGTGGCTCTGAGGTATAAACTGGTCCCACACCATCAAACACGATATTATTCCTACTTTTATTTTCACTTGCTCATTAGGCCACAAATGAATTCAAACAGGCAGGAGCAGTGCATTTGTTGGGAAGCAGGGAATTACATCACTGGTTCTCTACTGTGTGTCTGTGTGACCATAACCTACATCTAAAGGATGGGTGTAGCTTTTGGGCCTCAAAAAGGTGAAGTCAACCTAGAAGTGCCTCAAACCTGCATTCTTTCCAAAGCCCAGCAGGGGGCGACTCCTCTGGCTGTATAGAAGTCTGTGACTCAGTGACAGGCCTGTCCTACATTTTAGGACAGGGCGTCTTGTCCCCTCAATGCTCACTTCAGGGGTCAAACCAATCCTACTACAGAAAACTAGATTTTTGACAGTTTCCAGACAAAAAGTGAGCCCACATCCAGCACTCGTTTTGGTCTTTTCAGTGGATTTTCCTGCAAAAGAAAAACTACAAGCGAGCTAGAGAAAACTAGAGTGAACTCATGGACAGGGAACTGCGTATCTCAAGCTGAATAATCACTGCTGATTGTGAAATAACAGCAGCGAGCAAACGCTCGTCTTCCTTCATGTACAATAATCCAAAGTCCGACCTCATCTTGTTGCCTTGATGGACGTCTCCCCGCCCTCGACCCCACTCCCGTCCGTCTGTCTCTCTGCTCTGACTGCTGTACAGCCCTGTCTGCCTGTTTTTGTCACAGCCTTTTTTATACGTACATGGGGAAAAAACAACAATATTAAAAAACACTTAAAAAAGACAAAAATGTAGTTATGCATAATAATTCTGCTTACAATAACAACAGTGCTGTAATCTAATCAGCCACGATGATGACGTCAGTGTCATCCTCATGTGGTCAGTAACACAATGAACCAGTATCACAGGATCAAGCAGGGAGGTTAAAGTGGGAGGACGGGACAAGAGGAGTCACACATATGTATACAGGGGCGGTGCGTGGGGTGGGAGGGGTTACTGCAATACTGAGGTGTGCTGATGTTGTAACTGCTTGTTGCGTTGTGCGCTGAGCTGTATCTGATGAACTAACCCAGCTGTCAACTAATAAACACGGACTACGCATATCCTTAACTAGTGGCTCATTTGTGTGTGTGTGTGTGTGTGTGTGTGTGTGTGTGTGTGTGTGTGTGCGTGTGCGTGCGTGCTGGATTAGGATGGAAGATTATAAAATACATAATG